TTATTGTATTATTGTATTATTGTATTATTGTATTATTGTATTATTGTATTATTGTATTATTGTATTATTGTATTATTGTATTACTGTATTATTGTGTTTATTATTGTATTATTGTATTATTGTATTATCGCATTATTGTATTATTATTGTATTATTGTATTATTATGGGCCAAAATATCTGGAGGAGAAAGTAGAACCTGGTTTTTAAAAATACGAAATCTAAAATGGTATTTTCAAAATGGAGTCACCCATCATATTTCATAGTTTACTGATTAACAATCCTATTGAAATTTTGGAATTCTGTACAGTACTTTTCCATCAATGTGTTATGTAAATAATATAAATAAACCCAAGCCATATGGATGCAAGTTTTATATTTCCCTAAAGAAAGGAAGTACAATTTAAAATGGTAGCAAACACATTGCAGATTTGTAATTAGGCTCAGGTGCATTAATATTATCTAAAACCATATAAAAGTTGTTGATGTAGATATGTGCTTTGGATGATTTTAAGTCTACAATACTTTTTTAAGAAAAAGAGTATAATTGAGACAGATATTAGTTGTTGCTAGAACTCTGGAATTTAAAAAATGGAATGATCCATATCAATAAATCAAAGGTTAAGATTTTTAAAACACAGGTATAAATCTCTTTGTGGTTATGTTTTGTATGATCGTAGAATTAAACTAATCCAACAAAGAACTACATTTCAAACTGACAACTAATAAACGTTAAAAAGAATTGGTGTGAACTTTGTTACCTGGAAGTGTAAAATGGGTGAAGGGACATTTCTGAAATAGATGTGTCCCACTATCACCTAGTGCTGATTTCATATCCATAAATTTGTCAATAAGGTATTAAAAGAGCAGCAAGGTTTAATATGAATTTATTAGAACTATATATCAAATGTTTGGAGGTTGTTATCTCTTTGAGGGAGATAGGTGGTTTAGAAATATGAAATATAAGTAAATAATAAAGTACAATTCAGCAAAAAAAGTTCTTAGATATTTGAAAGATAATGTGAGACCCGAAGGATTCAATCTATGCTCACTTACATATATTCACTTTTAATCTATAAAGTAGTTTGCCATGGCTGATCAATATTTCTCTGTGAAATCAAGGGTAAAATGATGAATTGGGCTAAGTGACTTTTTCCTTTATGTATATTTTATCGGGGTTGTAGGGGGCTTGCACTGTTTTATTTATTTTTTTTTTTCTTTATTTGCACATCAAAGCATAAACTTAAATATTTTTTAAAAAAATTATGCATAAGCATCGTAATGGTTTCCTCTTATCTTCGCTACCTGTTCAGAACCTGGAGCGCACATGTGCGTGGGTGTGTTTCGCTCACGCAGGCGCTTCTGCACATGCGCAGAACCTTGTGCGCATGAGCAGAGCACCTGTGATGACATCTGGGCTGGTGGGTGGAGCTTCCCGCCGCCACTACTGGTTCACCCAAACTGCAAAATGCCACCTCTGATAAACATAAATATTTTTTAAAAGAAAAAGTACTGTATTTAATGCAGAGAAGTGTGTAATGCAGAGAAGACCTACCTAACATGAATTCCTATGTAAAATCACATTTAATATGTGACACACACACACTTAAGTTTAAAAAGCATGCAGAATTTCTTACTGCTGATCTATGTGAGTTCTTGGAGCCTGCTTGCAAAACTGACGGAACACTTTTTTCTGAGTGGCGATACGCTGCTGCTCTTCCAGACCCAACTTGGAAAGCTCCTTTTCTAAATGGTCAATCGTCCCTTCTTGCTCCTCCAACTGCTTCGCTTGGTGCCGGTACACTGCCTGGGTTGAGAAAACCAGAAAATTGCAAAAGACCAAAAAAATAAAAATTACTAGCTGGCCTACTATCAATTTTCAAGAAAACATCTGCTTTCTATAGCTAGCGATAACACTTTTCACTTTTTTTCTTGCATATTCATTTAAAGCAGGAGCTTCCAACCTTGGCAACTTAAGACACCATGGCTCACTGGGGAATTTTTAAGTTGCCACGGTTGGACGCCTATGGATTAAAGTATAATAACAACCTGCGGCTTCTGACATAATGCAATTTAGAATTAGTTTTGTAGCTGCTGTAATACTTAAAAAGCCTCTTATCTATAATAAACAAACTGAACCCGGAATTTCAAACTCCGAACAGTATTGAAGTACCTGTGAAATTTCATGATCTTTTTGAAGATCTCTGATTTGGTTATGTTGCTGAGAAGCATTGGCTATTGACTCGTCTTCTAGTTGACGTATTTTATGTTTGACATTTTCCACAATAACGTCCAAATCATTCGCTCGTTGTTCCTGTCGGGAAGCCCGACCTCTCTCCAAGCGTAATTCATCTCTAATTAAAAACCAAACCAAACAAAAATACACTGTAGTGAAAAAATAGGCTATCCCCAAATATAGGTAGTCTTCAAGTTGCAACCACAATTGAGTTCAAAATTTATGTTGCTTAGTGACAATTTGTTACATGAGTTTTGCCCCATTGTACGACATTTCTTGCCACAGTTGTTAAGTGAATCACTGCAGTTGATAAATTAGCAACCTGGTTGTTAAATGAATCTGGTTTCCCCATTAACTTTGTTTGTCAGAAGGTTGCAAAAAGTAATCACGTGATCCCAGGACGCTGCAATGGTCGTAAGTATGAACCAGTTGCCAAGCATCTGAATTTTGATCACATAACCATGCTGCAAAGGTTGTAACTGGGGGAAAAGGTCATAAGTCTTTTTTTTCAATGCTGTTGTAACTTTGAATGGTCGCTAAATGAACGGTTATAAGTCGACGACTACCTGTAAGTTCAAATCAAAAGTAAAATAAGAGTGTTCATCTAAAAAACTGTATCACACAATTTATTAATTCACATTTGTTTTAATAATGGTTTTTGAACAAGCTATAATGATTTGGTTCAGAGGTTATAAAGCATGGATTACAAAGGAAAAAACCTGGAATTATTTATGGGGTGGGAGTAGGGATAATTTGAGGCCCACTCATATTATTTAATTTTATAATAGCCAGTATAGTTTAACAAAATCAGATTCGTAGGTGGATCAACCTTGCAATAACCCAAGCTAAAGAAACCACCTTAGAGCTTGATTCATAGTATTATATGGTATTATCCTGGGTAATACATTAAAACCTAAATAACCAAAGATCATGGGTATCCAATCTTTTGGCTTGTCTGGGCTGCACTGAGTGAAGATGAATTGTCTTGGGCTGTGTATAAAATATATAATATAGTTAATGTATATAAATTATGTAATAATGTTAAAAGTTTATGAACTTGTGGAGCCACATTACTAACTGTCCAGGGCTGCATATAATCCATGGGCCACAGATTGGACCCTCCTGCTCTAAGTATGCCTGTTGAAATGCACAACCCAAAAGAAAGCATCAACCTGGACTTATTGTAATAAAAGAAGCTCATTATGCTGCAAAGAAGCTGCATTGTCATTCCTTGCCCAGTAAGAACTCAAGGAAACAAATCTACACTGAAAGTATGGAATTCTGACTGAATGTTAGCTTTTCACAGACTCTCTATTAAATGCAAAATTTTGAAATGATAAGGAAAGCACGCGGGGAGTTTCCAAAATGCCACAGCAGAATGGAAAAGCCAGGAAACCTTTAAATCAAACAAGAGCGACCAGAAGACAGGGCTAAGTGAAAATTGGGAAGTGAGACAACAAGTGGATAGATGGATGGATCAATGGATGGATGAGAGAGAGAGAAAGAAAGAGAATTCTTGTGTATTTCATCTAGAGTAGCAGTTCTCAACCAGTGGGTCGCGACCCCTTTGGGGGTCGATTGACCCTTTCACGGGGTCGCCTAAGACACGGGCGCACGCTGTCCTCTTCTCTCTGACAGCCACCTGATTAAAAAGCCATCCCCCGCGGCATTTTTCCCTGGGGGGCTCTGCAGAACATCCCAAGACCAATGCCCAGGCTTCTGCAGAAACTTCAAAGCCCTCCAAAGCCCTAAAAGGGAGGAAGGGCCAGTGGGGAGAGGGGCTTTGGTCCTGCTCCGGGCTGCAATTGTGCAGGGTGTGCGTGCGCCTATGTTTTCTATGGTGTGGGGCCGTGGCTGGAAGATGAAGAGTGCGAGGGGGACCAGCGGGGCCTTGTCCTTCTGAAGAGGACCTGTCCCCGAAGAGGGGAGATGTGTGGCATTGGTCTTGGGATGTTATGAGGAACCCCCCAGGGGAAAATGCCGTTGCCATATATTTTGGTCCTATGACTGTAGAATGCTGCAAAAAACCATAAATACAGGCCAGTTGTTGAGTGTTTCAAATGTGATTGGAACACTCAACAAGGTGACCTCAGTATGTGTGTCTGTGTATGAGTGAGTGAGTGTGAGACAGAGAGACAGAGAGGGAATCAGAGAGAGACAGACAGACACAGAGAGAGAGAGACAGAGAGGGGGAGGGAGGAAGGGAGGGAGAGACAGACAGACAGAGGCACACAGAGATGGGGGAAGGAAGGAGAGAGAGACAGAGTGATACAGAGAGAGACAGACAGACACACAGAGAGAATGACAGAGATAGAGAGGGAGGGAGGGAGGGAGGGAGGGAGAAAGAGTCACACAGAGAGAGACAGACAGAAAGAGAAAGAGAAAGAGAAAAAAGGAAGAAAGGAAGAAAGAGAAAGAAAGAAAGAAAAAGAAAGTGGGAGAGAGAGATGAAAGAAAAAAGAAAGAAAGAAAGAAAAAGAAAGTGGGAGAGAG